GGCCCACGAGGAAGGCACGTCATGCAGGCTATCTCATTCCCTCCAACAGAACTGTAGTTTAGAAAAGCTGCTGAGGAGTACGATAATGGAATTGAGAATGTACAAACTTAACTGATATCTGGATACATGCAGTTGAACCTCGATACAACCCCTACGTAACGAAGGACATGGACCCCGCCAGTATAACTAATCATATTCTTCGCCCCAGTGAAAATAGAGAACCGCAAACGAGAACCGCAAAAAAAGAATAGGTTTAGACAGGCAAAATAACAACTTTGATCACGCTGTTTTGTACGTTTCTTAGCCTTCGTTGCACGACTACGACGCGAAAGTGCATAACTTCACGTTTTGTCGAGAATGGGAACACAAGACAATAACTTTACTTTTTCATTTCTTGAACTTTGATAGAGTCCTTTAGAATTCAACTCCAAAAAAATTTACCAACATTTGACGAATTAAACGAGATGGAACAGGCGCGATAAAGTCTGAGGACGCGCGAATTCACTTTTTAAGTGACGTTTTCGTAGCCGTAGCCTTCGTTGTTGCTTAAGCTCCCTATTACTTCTACAAGGAAAAGTCAACTATATAGACCACTAATGTCATGATAATCGTGCAACACACAATTTTAACTATTATATAAATTAAACTCAAGGTGACGCGCCTGTCAAGTCACAGAAACAGTGTGGTGCGGTCCAGGCCAGACAAAGAGTGTTAACATGACCCTTATATCACACCGTACATTAGTATATTACACCCTGCATTTTTTACTACAGTGTTACTGGGAGATGTGAGTCACTTTCAGACATCTGGAACATTCACAAAAAAGCCATACAAAAAAGGTTCACACCGTTTTTCTAGTTGGTTTAGTTGTACGTTTTGTCCAGATTTCGTGGATTTATATACTAGCCAGTGGTTAAAAAGGTGTACCGATCATGATTGAGGGTGCAAAACAAGTTCCTACCAAATGAAGGCTGCTTGCGAATGTTCAGCCTTTTGATTAAGGACCCTCCCTCCAATCCCCGACCCCCCACCCCTCCCTATATCCGCTATTTAGCCTGCGAGCAAGCTCTCCTATTTGGGCAAGCGAAGCGAGCCTCGCGAGAACGCGCGAGCGAAGGGGCCTCGCAGCTTGGCCGCTCGCTCGCGCGTTTTCGCGAGACACGCTTCACTCGCCCAAATAGTAGAGCTCGCTCGCAGGCTATCCGCTATTCTGTTAACGTACGAAATTTCAAAGTTCGTAATGTACATGTCTCTTTCAATTCCTGAATGTAGCAGCTTGCATCCAGGGCTCCTCAATTAGATAGATTTGAATTCCAGCTTTTGCAATCATTTCTTTTCATGCTCTTTATCCATCGTCAAACACAATACTAAATAAAGATTATGGTCACTGATTTGAAGAATCCAGCTCTTTGTGCCCGGCTAATGGCTGATGACAGACCACCAGAAGTTGCTCAATTTACTTGTCTTGAAACTGCAACTGAAAACAGAAAGTCGCTTGTGTTATTTAAGAAAGCTGGAAGCTATCAAGTCTAAAATTCGCGTTTTTCGCAAATTCAAAACAATCCCGAAATCTACAACTCGCGACAACTGGGATGGAAGAAAAATAAAAGTTGCGAAATTTAGTACTATGTCACGTTACAAAACAAAATAAGTTAAAGTTGCTGTAAGTCGTGGACGTGATGACGATGATTTTAGGTAATTTCAAACATTGTTCTTCTTCTCACTATCATCTGTGTCCTAATGTACAAATCTTTCAAAACCGTCTTTGGTACATTCACTTAACTTTATGGTCGGCTCTCTCTTTAATTTTGGCGCTGTTCTTTTTCATAAGTAGATCAAAGAATGTTATTATACCCTTTGTGACATCGGTATTTGTTCCCCCAAAATCGCGGAATACCATTAATGAATTTTCGTGCGAAAATTTGTAAGAATAATATTCACTGTAGACGTATATCTACTAATTGTGTTGTGGTGTGGGGACTGTTTAGGCCAGGAGCCATAATCAATCATACCTCCTGGCTTAGGCTGCAAGTAGCCCAATACTTTCTTCAAATTAGGGACTTAAAGATTCAACCGGACTCGACAGCAACGAAAACGTCCTAAAAAAAGGACTTTGCACAGGCATCGCGCTTTTTTGTACATTTCTTTGCCGTTTTTGCACAAGTAAGACGTGAAAATGCCTAATTTCGTGTTTTATGGAGAACGTAACAAGCAAGGAAGAAATTTTATTTCGCTTTCTGAACTTGAGTATGGTCCCTTGGAATTCAAATTCAGGAGTGTTCGTGTACATTTGACTAAGTAAGTAGTAGGAATAATCGCGATAAAGAATGAAGAACACAAATTCACTTTTTAAGCGACGTTTTCGTTGCTGTCGCGTCGTTGGATCTTAAAGTCCCTTTCAACTTTTTAGTGAAGGAAGTACTCGCGCACGAGGGAGCACGCACCCTCAACCGCGCGCGCCGTTATTTGCGTATTTTGCGCCTTCGGCTCCACGGACTGAAAAAATAGACACTGCTCATAGAGTCTAGGTAATGTTAGGGTCTGTTAGGCTACAGTAGCTCGCGAAACTGACCTTGTGCCGCCTATTTTTGACCGAGTAGAGAAAAGCTCACCTTTAATACTTCTTTTTAGATCATGTTGGCAACTGTACGTGGAAGAATTTTATTCTTGTGCCGGACAAACCAATGGCGACAAGAGGCTGATTCAGACAGGCTCCCAAACAGAGCGGTTGCTCTCCAATGTCTAGAACACTTAGCAGATGTCCGGTTCTGACATTACACAATCGAAGGAAGTTGTCCCCACTGCAGCATACGAGAGTTTCATCATTTAAAAACTTACATTCAATAATGTCGTTCTGGTCTCTAAGAAGGACGTGCAGTGTTTCTCCAGTATCTGCGTCAAGAACATGTAGACCTTGACCTTCGTCGAGAGTGTTCCACGTAACAACAAATTCATTCTTGGGCGAGAAAATCATGTGTTCGTCGCGAAGATATGAATTATCCGCGATTCGTTCCCATTTAATTGATCCTTTGTTTAATAAACTAACTGTGACCACCCCCTCGTCTATAGGTCCCCAGGACTGCCGTTCAAAACGGCAAACCAAAACATTGCTCGGACTATTGCATGAAATGCTATATAAGTATCCCCATTCGTCGTAACGTGGGAACCTTAGCGAGGACACAAGCTTTCCCCCCTGAACGCCGGTTGTGCTCATAAAGTCAAGACAATCATCTGTACAATCCTCGAGAGGTGTACACTCTAACAAGTCGTCGTGTAAGTTTTCGTTTTCTTCAGATTCTTCTAGACTTCTGATATAAATTGATTCCCGTGATTGTGGCGAATAATAAAAGGCTATCAGTTCATCTGATACTGGTATCAAGGTTACTGAATACACAATACTAGTATCACTGGTAAGTTTAACAATACTTCGAATGCACTCCGACAGGTCGAAATTCCACAACTCTGCTACACGATCATTTTTAAAGAGTACAAGACCTTCCTTCGTTGGAACAATCGACACAGGGCCAAAGAATGTCTTTGTCTTCAAAAATTCTCGACTTGACAGTCTCCAGATAGTTATCTCTACCACTTCTGAACTAATGTAGACAAACCTGCCTGAACTTACAACGTATATTGCATCGCCTTCCATAGAAAAAATAATCTCCCTGACACCCATGTTAACGTTCGAGGAGTGAGTCGAGTCGGACTCGCTTTGCAGTAGACCAATATTTAACATCGTGACATATTTGTGATCTGGACTACCAACCAAAATTGTTTCATCTTTAAGGCTGATGTAGGAACCTGAGAACAAATACGGAATCTCTCTCTGCACCTTCGACACCCAGGAAGGTCCTTCATTCTGCTCCATAAAAGTACATTCAGTCAAAGTGCTTGGTGGAGCGGAGGGCCATAACACGAAGGTTCTGGGATCAACAGGTTCAAAATGCGGATCTGACAGGGAAACGTTATTCAGAGGAGTTTTGAAGGAAACTGTTGGTTTTCTTTCTTCAGGTTCTAACGCATCAAACGGGCATCTGTAGTCCTCGCAAGAGGCTAATAGACATCCACAAACCAGAGTATCATTATCGGATGTGAAATGCATCAACCCACACACCCAGTTATCTTTACCAGCGTCAGGGAATATCAAACCAAACTCGTCTATTAGGTAAAGAATAGTAATCTTACCAGTCAGAAGTCTTTATCGCTATGCACTGGGTAGCGGTCTTTATCATTTCCTACTTTAAAGGAATAGGCTTAGCTATTATTGAAACTCGAAGACCGGTAAGAGGTATAGGGTTTACTAATAGACGAAACCTAGTACAGGGCAATCTGTAAATATCACTTCCTTATCTTTATAAGATCGTAAGAAGCAATATGAAAATGTGCAGTCACTGTCCGGGAAAAGATCTTCCCTATCTCCACTAATGGTGTAAACATATTTAAGAGTTCCTGGTATTATCGACTTCCCATTTGGATGAAATGTGACAGAATGATAAAATGACAGAAAATGCCCAGTTTGTCGATATGCACCAGTACCCGCAAATGCCTCTTTGGAACTATACTTTCTGTTTGTTAGCGATGGACGAACCCATACTTTGGTACCAGTCAGCAGGGAAAAGAGATGGATTGTTTCATCTCGACACTCGCATACCAGGTAATCCATTTCAGGTGAGACATCAAAACATGCGATTTTATCTGAACTGTAAAATCGTCCCTGAACGGCTTTTTCCTTTTGCTTGTCATTATCTAAGTACTTCATGCATGGCATTTTGGGAGTTAATGACTCAACAATACCTGCTGCTATAGACGACAATTCAGGGGTACCTTCGTTAATTAAACACTGGAAAAATAGGTGAGGGTAATCAAACAAGATGTAAGAGTATTTTCTTAGAAGTCTGAGGAGAGAAGTTACAACAAAATCTCTTTCCTCGCTTACTCTTCTGGAATTCTCACAGTGGAGGCTAAGAAGATCTTCTATGGCTGTTGTGCTCTTAACACAAAGCTTTGCATAAATTAGCTCTAAGTCCGTTGCGTATCGGTACACCTGTTCTGCTGTGACACTACTGGTTCTTGATTTGTCAGCGCAGTCATGATCGGTGACCTCAAGCATGTGCTGAGTACCATGATGCAAAGCATATGTTTCAGTATTCGAAAACTGTTTGCCATGAACCCCTTTTCGCTGCAAGCTTTCGAGTTCAGAAGCACAGAGATCAGAAAGGACAATATGACCTTCTTTCTCGTCCACGGTGAAATCATGTTGTTCATAAGGCGATGATGCTATTAACCAGTCCTTGATTGATTTGTGAAAAAAGTGAAGGCGACCCTCGCGAACTGGTAACAGTGTAGAGATGCAAGATATTGCTTTGTTAACTTTTCGCTGCGCAGTCAAAGATTTTCCACCCGGGTTTAGAATTTTGGCAATGAATTCTACTGGTAATGGTTCCCTTGCAGCAGTCAATGCACACAAGAAACGCAAAAAATGTTCCTCATCTGCATGAAGCTCTTTGCAAAGTTCATCCTCTAACCGTGTAAAATAGGACAGGTAAACCGATGAAATATCTGAAGGTAACACACTTTCCAGCTGATCAGGGCTGAGAATTGAAACATTCTTTTGGATAAAATCCACTATAAAGTAAGCGTAAATAAAAAGGCCTTCTGATTTCTTGACCAGCTCTTTCAAGAGAACATGTTTATGCTCCTCACCAATTTTGAGGCTGAGTTGTGTTTCAAACAAGGTTTGAATGTCCTTTAAGTTTTCTTCTTGTTTTTGTTCAAGCTCTATTGGTTTCAAATGTCGCAATGCCTCTGTAACGTTCTTCTCTGGACGAGTTGTAATGAGTATTCTAATCCAGACTGGAAGCATAGAAAAGTGGTTACTGATTACATGTAGAAGCTCATTGCGTCCTTTGTACTCGCTTTCATCGAGGCCATCTATGACCATTAGGATGTTTCTTCCAGGATCTTGCACTGTGCTGAGAGGCTCTTTAAACAGCAACGTAAACAGCTCTTTTACACCCATGTTGTTGAGGTCTTTACCCAGATTTCTTGACAGCTGTTCCACTAAAGCATCTTTGTAACTTGGCATCGCTTGACACAAGTGACAGGCTAAAGACTGGAGCATTAAACGTGGATCTCGGTACCGTGAATCGTCATGCTGACAAAAGTGGCTTCCCGAGAGTCTTCCAGCTTTTTTAATTCTTTGCGAAACAACAGCGGAGATAACAGTCTTTCCCATCCCTGGATTTCCACTGATTACCATCGCCCGATGTGGCGAGCTCCGGTCGTCTAACCAGTCTTCGATGCTCTTGAAGATCCACTCACGAGTTCCTTTCTGGAATTTCTTTGCATGATACTCTATATCTCCTTTGAATTCAAACTTCACAAGGGTCCTGAGCACTTCATCTGCGTGATCGCTTTTCTTTTTCGTCAAGCTTTTTACTTCCTGTTTTACTTCTTGAATTGATTCACGAATTTCGTCCACAGCTTGGCTGGTTTTAGTTTGGGACTCACACACTCCCTCTAAACGTGACATGCTTTCCTTGTGTGCTGCCCTCAATTCTTGATGTCCTTTGAGTTCTATCTCCACTGCTTCATCTACAACATCCTGAGTTTTGCTTAGGGCTTGACGTAGATCTTCCATGTTTAAATTGCCATCTTCAATTGTTTTACTGAGTTTTAGTTGCGTCTGGTGGATGTCTTTCAACTGCGTTTTTATGTCCTCTTCACTGTCAGCCCACTCAATTAAGGCATCAAGGTAATCTTCCTCTGCTCCATGCTCTGCCTTCAGTCTGTCAATTTCAGCTTGATCTAAACCCAGCGAATGAAGAGTAATGCTTATTTCATGCCAGACGGAGGAGAAAGATGTCGCATCAACCCCTGTGGACGTCACGTGACCATACAAATCATTCCGGAAGAACTTAACGCGAGCAAGGTTAGCCTCAAGAGTGTTATCAGCAGGGGGCGGCTTGGTGTGCCATCCTGTCAGGGGAGGGGATAAGCCGCAAATGGTAGTTAGCAGCAGGAACAGAAGAGTGATGTCAAACTTGTTGGAGTCTGGCACCCCTCCACCAGGGGGGAAGAGTTTGTCCCACTGATGGCCATTTAGCACTCTTTTACGCAAAAGGTTGTTAAGAATGGAGTAATTGAAATTGAGATCAGAAGCCAAGTTGACAGGTGGGTGATAGTGATCGAAAATATTCCTCAGCACCGTTGTTCCACCATCGATGAGAAGCCTGCTCAGCTTGTTTCCATTTGTCTTCGCTGGAGAGCTGGCCAGGGGTGAAGATGCTGCTGTCGCCATTTAGCAAATTTGATGCGAAAGGAAACATTCATATCTTGGAAATCATTCTTAACCTACGTTAGCAAGAAAGATAAAACGTGAGTTCGTTTACCACAACGATTAACTCGCTCGGTCCTGCATGTTTTTGCTTTGTTTGTTATTTTATTTTTATGATTACAAGACCATGAAACTATAAAGACGAAGTCACGCGTAAAGGGAGTTGGCGAATACTGTTTATCGTATACAAATTAGAAATATGCGAATCTATTAATAGGAATACCATTATTATAAAAACTTATATAAAATACCCAATACATCAGTCATCGACGTCATCTAGCCTATACACCAGCTTGATTTTTAGTACGAACGGGAACGCTTTGAGCTGGCTATGATTAAGCGAGCGCATGAGCAGGACAAGAGCTATTGAGGTCCGGTTAACTGAGTTCCGCAAACAAACAATCAACCTGAGAAACACAACTCTGACGAGCAAAACAAATGTTAAAACTGACGACAACGCAGACATGGACTCATACCAGCGACAATATAAGAATATAAGTGAGCTCACTCTGACTGTCATCATAATCATATTGTCTGTCTATGTCAATGTTTAAGTACGTAATCAATATTTAAGCCATGACTAGCTTTCACTGCCTTTTAAGTTATCCTTTGACTGCATACACTGATTATAATTATGATCATTGGCTTTTCGTTCACTTGTGACAATTTCCTGACAAAAGCGCTGCTTGTCTGATCTGTTGTTCCCAAAAAGCAGAAGAGCCGTAAATTGTACGTGTCATATAAAACGCGCAATGCATGTGACTGCGCCTGGGTTATCAACCGTGTCATGCAGCTTTTGACGCACACGATACTTTACGTTTATATAAGAGTTTAACAGCAAAGGAAAAAGCTAACAAAAGCATAAACTTTCAGACATCTTCAATACACACAAAAAAAACCTGGTGTCTACGACGTACTTGCATGTACTTGAATTCGCCTGTCATAGGCGTTCATAGGTCATACCGGCCTGTTTTTTTCAAGGCGGAAATGTATAGATATGTCTTCTCACTTGCTAGGATCGCAAAGAATGTTCTTTCGTTCCATATTCTTCTCAACTCTGGTTTTGATCTTGTACTAAATATAGCGACCACATAAGCTAATGGGGACAGAAAGCTTGAGTTAAACTTTCATTGAGCAAGGAGCTAGAAGCTAATAGAGCTAACAATCTGCTTCATGAATTGTTTATCCATTTTCCCTTTATGCTGTCTGATGAAATGGTTTGCAAACGTTTAAAATTACAAAATCTTGTCATCGATCGGAATTTTTCACGTTATCCCGAACATCAAAATTAATCTTCACAAAACTGCGCTATACAGTAAATTTGAAATATCACGGTGAATGCATTATCATGCCTCGATAAATACCCTGTGAAACGATCTGTGAAGTACACAAGCCCCCTAAAGTTGCTTTTTAACAAACTTACCTTTCTGCCGCCACATTCGCTAGCTAAGCCTCTTCCGTGTAGACTCCAGGACATATTTCATAAAGAAACAAAGTGTTTTAAGTAACATGGCCCATCGACGAATCTAAAAGTTAGACAGTTTAAGCATGACAACCTCTTGTTAGCATTTGCATAGACTTACGTTGTTTGACTGTTTCGAAAACTTTGCAATTAGAAAAAGGGAGTGTTATTTTTGTTTTGCATCAATAAGCGCCAATCGGCAAGCGCTTATTAATAAACCGACAAAACAATTCTCAGCTCTAGTTCAAAAGAAGTATGGGAACAAGAAAGAACGGAGAGTGGGAAGGACGCTACGCAAGCCGTGTCATAATCCCTTCCGGGGAACTTCGGAAGTGTATTAAGGTCGTTGTTTTAATGCCAGATGAATAAGAAAGAAATAGTAATTAGCGAATTCGAAATGGATTTAAAGAAATCTTTTTGTTGGCGTTCTAAACTAAGTAATGATGAAATAATTTCTTACAGGCCAGATCTTAGAACGTGCGTGTGACGCGCGCGGCTTAACGTAAAAAAAGGCGGTAATACGCTGGACAGCCATTTAACTTTAAGTTCATCGTAAGCGGAATGATGATAATCATGACTGGGTTTAGGATAAGTTTTGTAAAATTTTACTTTGCACAGTTTAAGACTGACACTCAGCAGAACAATTATTTGATCAGTACAGTTCTACTCTTTTCGCGTGCGTTAAAGCACACTTATACCCACCCCCACAGAGGCACATGGTGCAGGGGGAGGGGGTAAGCTGCAACTCCTCTATGGAAGCTGTAGTGCTTACGTTGTACTCAAATGGGATAGATGCCAACCTCTAGTAAATCTGGAGAATATTTCATCAGACTATTCCATCCTACCAACTATATACCACTTTCAACCCACCCCAGTGACCCCACCACCAATTCATACACAACTTAGCCCGTGAAGAGACCCTCCGTTTGGGGAAAGGGGCTTAATATCGGTGGAGATGGGAAGAAGGGAAGTGGGGGAATGGCCACCACCCTTTTTCCCTCCTTATGCCCAGCTATTCTTTTTTCACCCTTTTTGTCCATTAAGGAGTCTGGTGTGGCTCAACCCGACTTACCCAGACTTCAAATATGCTTTGCTAAAGCTGAACGTCATTTAATCAGACAGCTGCTAATAAAGCCAGATGTTCCGGAATTCACTCCTGATCAAGTTGGGTTTGTTTCTTATGACAGTCACTGCATGACTGCTTTGGCCATACATGCTTGCAAATGCGCCCACTGGTTTGTCTCTTGCCGGTCGGGGATTCCTTCTCAGAACCCCAGAGGGAGGGGGGCTGGGCATTCCCTTATTTGGTCTAAAATATGTGCCGCTGAACAGGATTTGGTTCTCAGAGTTTTGAGTATTAAACATGTTATACAATTTCACTATTTAACATCCTCAACACGGGAGGTCATTTTGGATAAGAAGCTTTTGAAAGAGTGTAACGGTTCGCGAGAAGCGGTCCACATTCAGACAAGGTACTTTTTATTAGCTTCGCCAAAAAAAGAACAAACAAATAAACAAAACAAACAAACAGAAAGAACGTTGACAGGAACACCGCAACAGCTGTGGCCATTTACTAAACGAGAAGCGGTCCACATTCAGACAAGGTACTTTTTATTAGCTTCGCCAAAAAAAGAACAAACAAATAAACAAAACAAACAAACAGAAAGAACGTTGACAGGAACACCGCAACAGCTGTGGCCATTTACTAACAAAAAAACAAGAAATATTAAAAAACACGGCAATGCAAGAAAAACTACAGCTATAGACAACAAGTTATTGGACGAGACAAGGGACGAACACTATTACATTTTAAACAGATAGACTTGAACGAACGTGGGTCTTCACAATCATAGGAAACAGCTAACGCGGACTTATAATAATTAAAAATAGCCGATCTAAAGGAAGCTAAAGTCGGAGAATAGGTTTGGAGTGCGAATACTACATTATTCTATGTACCAAAGGCAGTCAATGGTTACTGTGTAACCTGGCTAACTAGCATTTTTTTTTCTCGTTCCCCACATGGCCCCTGTGGCTTCCACGTCCGAACACGGGCTCCTTAAGAATTAATTGCCTCCTTATTTCTTATCTCATCTCCAAGCAAGTTCGAGTCAACACTTTTAGACCGTCTTATTTCTTATGTAATCTCGAAGCAAGCGAGACTGTCCACTTTTTAGAGCGTTCTTGTTTTTGGAAAAATCGATGTTTAGCTCCTGATGTTTAGGAATGTTTTAGGAGGTTGAAAAAGTTTAAAAGGCAACTTCAGCTTTTAGGGTGAGGCCATCTTGGAGCCAAGGGGAAAATCTATTTTTCGCTTAGGGTAAACCAAGCTCAATATGAGAGTTTTTACGGGTCAAAATAATTGAAGTTTGTATGGCAAATAAAACTTACATAGAATAAATGAAATAAAACGGGTAAAAGTTTTGAACTAAGTATAAACATTGTTTCTCGGTGTCGCTGGGTTTTTTTTTGTAACCGTAGTTACAGCGTGATTTGAGCAGTTTTTACGGATTACACCGTTAGTTTAGATGATGGTACTCTGCGCAAGTGGAGCTGAAACTTCGTAGAAAGAAAAAGAAACACACATGTAAGTAACAATAATTATTTATACTTTATTAATGAGTTTTATCCGTTCTAGCTTATTTACTTGATGTAAGTCTTATTACCCATACAAACTCTTGTATTACCTTTAATATTCTCACTTAATTTCGCGAAAAACGAAAAATCATGAGCCATATTTCGCGAGTATTTAATTTCGCGATTTTTCCTGAAAATAGAACGCGAAAATCGCGAATTCGCGGGAAATCTAGTGCCGCGAGGATTCTGGGAACGAGAACCCAATACGTTGCAATGGAAGCCATGATCGTCGACTGCCAATGGAAAATGCTACATTTTGTGGTCAAGATCGTGCGGAAAATGGACTTTTCTATGGTTGCTACCTTCGGAAATCTTTCGTTCCTCGTTCTGTATCATTTTTGGACAAACTTATTCGCCGGCGTAACTGCAAGTCGCTGGAATGTTGACCACGTTATTTGCTGTCTACGACCATACCATAACGTTGCTTGGCTATTGCAATGATGTATACAGGTAGGCTTAACAACTGCTTAGAAACGTTCGTTGCTTTGTTTAGAAAGAAAATCTTTGGTAAGATATCCCTATGACCCCGATACATTCATCATGCCTACATGTTTCGACTCTATGTATTAAATTTCTGCAGGCATAATGAGCTCAGCTTCTCGGGATATAAGGAAAGCTTACCATTCATATATCTTTAGTTATTTTCTCTTAAGAAGAGGATTCTTTGTGTGAAAGTCTTCTTTCACTAAATAAGATGCTTTTCGCTACAATCTTCAGTATTTTACCTATGATTATTATCTTATTCACATGTCATCGACTTGCCCCAGGGGTAGACCCCCGTGCTATCCAGGGGAATTGTAAAATGGGATTTCCCCCAGGGGTGGGGGAATTTAATAAGACAACGTTCCCTTGGTTAATTGCTTCTCAGCGAAAAATTCTTCTGATATCCACCTCATATAACTGGGATTCACTTCTGAAATAATCCATTTCGTGATGCTTAAAAATTACAGTTATTCATTGCCGTATTTCATTTACATGTGAATTTTTGGATAAAGTCTATAAGTCCTCAGTTTCTACGTTTGTAATAAAAATGATCAGTGATAGGTTTAGAGATCTGAAAATATATTGATCCAGTTGTTTTGCAATAAATGAATGGATGCTTGATTAACGTTTTTAGGAGTCAGTTAAGGTGACCGTATGGAAATTACCAAGTTCTAGTTTGCTTTAAACTGCTTCATTGATTCTGTGATTGTTGCGAGATTGAAGGAAATTTCGCATGTACTAGAATGTCCTTGAGAGATTAATTTTTCCTTCCTGTGGGATTAGAGACAATTGGTGGCTGGTTAAAGATATGTTTAAGCTTAGCAGGACTTCTGATATTTCACACCGTCGCAGAGCTGCAAAATTCAGGTAAATCCAAGACATCCCTCAAAATTCACCAAAAAACGCACAATACCGCGCAATTCGTTAGAAATCATATCAAATACATGTCTGTACAACATATTTGAAACTTATTTCAACTATTGGGGCTATTTTCTTGATGTAAACTTGCAAATTTATCTGGAAACTTTGTGACTGAAATGTGCAAACAACATCCCCAAAACTACCAGGCATAGATTATATTGCGAAAAACTGGGCACTAGCTGTGATGTTAAGGGCTTTGCCATTGGTTCATTTCTGGAGCATATTGTTGTTAAAAGAGTAAATGATGACCTCTTTTAGTAAAACGTTAAAAACGCTGGTCTGATCAGTGCAAAACTGATTGATTACTAGTGAAATTTGCCCTGAAAATAACCGCTAAATTGGCCGTTTTCTATTGATTGTTTTTCAGCGAAGTTTGTCCCATAAATTCCTGTGAAATCAGCCGATTTTTCCGCGAATTTGTCTCTAAAAATCCTGCATGATTTCACTTTTTTTCCGCAACTTGTCAGAAGCCCTGGCTTGGGTTGCTGTTGAATGATGTCCTAGTGTTTCATGAGAATCTTTTTGAGATTCAGTGTGGCCGAGTTGTAGGTATTGTAGGTAGTAACAAACGGTAAAATCTCTTTTGTTTGTTTTGTTGCAAAGAGGATCTTTTCTGTTGGTGAACTTAACTTCAGTCTGTATTTCTTGAATAAGTGTTAAAGGGTAGCTTTGTTCAAGGTCTGGTTTGCTTTGTTCAAAGTTAACTGAGTTAGTTCTTAAAAGACGTTTAATACTTCTGCTTTTATAAAAGCCTTTTTGCTATTATTCGTTGTGATATCCCCATGGTTACTGTCCGCAATTTTACAAAATTTGCAATCACTACAAAGGGAGATTGTCAAGTTGTGAGACGAGATCAGAAAGCTGTCAAAAGATTTCAAAAATTTTAAAGACAAGATATATAGTTGAAAAAAATGACCTTTGAAGCAAAAGTTGCATTTTGTAGAAGATGTGGAGGCTTACTTGTTCTACAAGTTAAGAACTCACTACCGATACTACTAAATCAGTTCAGTCGTTTTCCGCACTGACTTTTCAATTTTTTTTTTGATCTTTCCTCTGACTTACGTAAACAGTTTCATGTCAAGAACATCGCCAAGGCAAAAGACAACATCTTGGGTCATAGCTACCAGTACAATATAAAACAACCAGGGTTCTTGCAAACAAGTGACAGAGAAACCTCTGAGGAAACTGTCAACTTTTGCCTTATGATGTTTGCTGGCATAGGAGTTGATATTTCGATCTCGAACATTGACATTGCACATAGGGTTCAAACAAGGAAGCTTGGTTTTAGTGGCATCCTGCAGCTTTGGGTTATGTTTGATTATGGTTGTACTTGCCTGTCAAATTGAATCCAAATTGTATTGGTTTTAGACCAGTTTATGCTGAAGGGCTGTTGTCTATTCCTTCACCTAGCTCTCTTGTCTCAATTATTATATTTGAACTGAATAATGCTGGCGTTGTGTGCATTATTGTTGAATCCTGGCTGAAGGTGACTACCCCTGATGGCATAAGCAATTTACAGTGTAATTGGGAATTTCTAGGTGTTGTTTTTGGATGGGGTAGAAAACTGACTAGAGGCTGTAGTTATGGTGGTGATGTGTGAACAATCATGCTCTGTGTTGCTGATTGAAGCAATAAAAAATTATGAAATGGAAATCCCTGAAGGAAAGTCCTTGTGGCTGATAATTGCACTGTTAATTTTATCTGTCTTTGTACAATCCTACTTGTTATTGTTTATTTATCAATCAATCAATCAATTATAATACTAATTGGTATTGTTTATCAATCATTCAATCAGTCATTCAATCAATTAATCCATCTATCCATCCATCTGTCCATCCATCAAATTGACAGTTTATTTCACACTGAAAAGCACATTGCATTCTTATGATTGAATAACATGTTGTTACTAGCTGGTGCAATACTAAAATCCATAGCAATCTCTATCCAAAAAAAGGTGGGAAATGATGATCAAACTAATACAAGAACCTGTGGTATAAAAATTACATGTATTACTGAATGAGGGTGAGATTCTGATGCAGACTACATGATTGTTCCATTTGAGATCATCACTCTTCATAAGCTGAGTATTTTTGCATAGAAAGCTCTGTTGAATACCACCCTGTTAAGTACAGCCTGAGGGAGAGATGTTGGAAGGTGATGTTTACAAACTTTCCACTAGTTCTTTTGCTACACTTGGTTGGACTGAGCTGAAGGCACAGTGTTCTTTTAACCAGTTGTTGCTGTTGAAACAGCACCTTGTAAATGGCTTCCCTCATAAGAAGGTGATATTTTTGAGATGGTCATGTCATCCACAAACTTCCACATTAGAAATGACTTGTCTGGTAGTTTCAAATCAGTAATCAACACCTGAAAAGGCTAAGGGTCAAGCTAGTCCCTTAACCCTTTAAGCCCCAAGATCCAGATACAAATTCTCCAGACCGATTTCCATACATTTCTTTTAAGAATAGTTGAGAGAATTTGGTTTCATATCCAAGTATTCTCCCTTTGGTCATCAATTTAGTTATTCTCATAACCTTTACTTATGTTGATCTGCTGATGTTGTTAGGAGAAAATTGATGTTGGACACTCTTGGAACCTAAAGGGTTAAACATTCAGTGATCCAGTTGACTGTGTGTAGATGGCTCGATCCCTAGGCTGAAAAGTTTGACCACTATTAAAAAAAAACAAACAAACAAACAATAAACAACAGCTTTATTTATACTGCAGAAGGGTTCAGTGAGCGGGGGTACAGTATCACACACTGGAATGAAAATGAATGTCAAAAATAAAAAGTGTAAACTTATTACAGTTAAAAATGTCAAGAAAATTGTGGAGATACAGCTGTAGGAATTTACATGTACATGTAGCAAGTTAATACTGCTGTACACAACAAAATACAAATTTGCAAAAAAAAACAAACAAACAAACAAAAAAAAAAACAAAAAGAGGAAAAGAATTAACTGATGTCATTAGTTTCATAAGACTGTTCCATCTTAAGCAGCTGCATACTGAAAGGTACTCTGGCCAACAGCTGCTGGTCTTTTTGCTTGATAGAAGTTGTGTGGTGGTCTTTCAGGGTGAGCCTTAGTGGTGTCTGGCCAGGGACGTATTGCACTTCCAGGGTTTTCAACAAGATGTTAAGTAGGTGGCAAAAGTTTTGGAGGAGGTGGAGAAGGAAAAAATCCATGGCAAAGGTGCAACTTGCGAACGCTGACGGTGTGGGTTTCTGAAAAAAATTTGAAATCTGGGCCTCTTGGAATGCACTCCCAGCATTCTGAAGCAAAAATAAAAATTTTTGAACAGAACACAGACATCATCAAATTTTGGCTTTTTTGTGTCTTGTTTTGGAAACACATCTGAAACCAGACATGCCCGATGCTATTGTGAATATACCAAATTACTCAATTCTCAGACAAGACACAAACTGGGCTGTTACTGATAAAAGGAGTGAAGGAGGAGCTGCAATCTACGTAAGGAACAATCTATGTGTAGTCAATGTTTACAGATCCGATCAATATGAAATGATTTGTTCTTCCCTCAGCGGTGCACCGTATGTTAATTTCTGGACCCTACAATTCCCCAAAGCGCAATTACCAGGAATGTAATTTAACAAGTTTATTTTCTTGACAACACGCTTGACGAAGACCCAAACACTGCCTTTGTATGTGGTGGTGACCGCAATCACCTTGATTTAAATGGTTTACAAAGCATGTCGGGCTGGAAGGCTTTAGTAGATTTCCCAACCAGAGGTGACGCGTGTTTAGATAACTGCTTAACTAGTCACCCAGATTTATTCAACAAGTGCCACTCATTTCAATTGTTGATCAAGACTGATCACACGGCTGTTATTCTCCTAGCTGGTACAAAGTTAAAACCCATCTGCTGTAAAGTCCTGATATGGGATTGTAGAGAGAATCGTAAAGCTGTACTTTACACTGCACTTGCGGAGGAAAACTGGGATAATGTGCTTGCTGCTCCTGATGTTCAGCAAGCGGTTTGTGTATTGGAAGAAAAGATTCATGGTCTTATGGACAGGTGTATGCCGGTCAAAACTGTATCTATGTCGTCACATGATGATCTGCCGTGGATGACACCACTCCTTAAGTCAATGATTAGAATGAAGTCCAGAGTTTCTTGTCTGAGCAAAGACAGGCTGTGTGGTATTAACAAAAGAATAGCTGACATCATCTCGGAAAATAGGAGAAAGTGTTATGGCTACCCTTCCAGGTAGTCAGGTATGGTGGAAAAGAGCTGATGAATTGTTGCAGTGGTGTTGTGCATTTAAACTTGTAATTTCCAAAGAAAAGAAGGTGGCGAGTTCATGTGAAATTACCGGGGAATTTTGCGGGCCACTGGCTCTTATTGAAAACCTTGCACTTCTTTGTCATAAGCCAGACTTCTAAGCAGCATACCTTCCGGGTGCCTTGGTGCCCTGTTAAGATATTTCTTTGTGACCGCCTCACGTGGCTTGTGGTCTGTTCTGACAATAACATGACGACCAAAAGGAAACTGATTCCATTTCTCCAAAGCAAAAACCACAGTCAACATTTCTTTTTCTTCCATAAGAATATTTGAGAGCCATCATATTACTTGAGTTATCAACTGGAAGTAATAATATTAATTTCCAAAAGACTCTGATTCGATGCCAAGTGCCTTTAAACTTTGAATGTTAATCTCATTATTGTCATACAAATCACATAGTTTCTTTGTTCTATGCACTGAACTGACTATTGCCAATTTCAATTAAGTTACCATGTGGTAAGAAATCAACAACTGTGGCTTACCAAATCTATCTCTTAGAATATTAATGACTGTTTCCAAAATTATCTTCAGCGAAAGGCAACCCAGTAATATTATATTATTGCCGATTTGGCTGCGCCTGTCCCTCAACTCTTCAAATACAGCTGTACACTGTAGGTGAATTTTTTTGGATTCGTGAAATGTCAATGTTTCTGTTAACCACAAATTCAAACATGTCCCAGAAACTCTGCCATTTATTGTAATTGTCCATGAAAATTACTTAAGTTGTAGTTTAGGTAGCTTCACAGTCTCACACTATACTTTATTTTATTTTCATGCACATCATTTTGCAATCTCCACCCGCAAATAGCAAAAGCTAGACGAGGTGAGTGGAGATGGTACTTCACTCCCAGGGGCCCCACTCACATATTTTAATGACGGGGAGTGGGGGGGGTCCGACAGAGGTTCATTAAAATATGGGTTTTTTTAGGGTTGAAGTCTTAAACAGATGGGTTTTTTTAGGGATGAAAAAAATCGTATGGGTTTTTTTAGGGAGTCACAAAAACGTAGTCGTTTAAAAATTATTTATCTTCTGGAAAGCCAAAACATGCCAACTTCAACTTTGGTTTTGTTCAAAAACAAAACTATAAATTGTGCTTATGTTATCGTTGATTTGAGCTGATGAAAAATACAATGCCCAAAAAAATCCCTGTGTTGTTTTCGCGACCCAAAAAAATCCTGGCGTCTTTCATAGATTTTCAATAAAATCCCTTTTGGCCAAAATGTCAGACCCAAAAAAATCCTTCAGACACCCCCGTCATTAAAATATGTGAGTGGGGCCCCTGGGACTTCACTTCCGCACCCTCATTGCTTTTAACATTGTTATTATCTTGAATGAACCTTGGTGTAGTTTCCATGTGTCCACTCTTTTTAGCGTCCTCTAAACTCAAGTCAATTCCAGCCAAAATATGGTAAACATTTTGCACAAACCTCTCCAGAATCATCAACTTCTTTCTCAATGTCTCTTGCCTTAGTGTTTTTCAAAATTGTTTCATCCAGATTTTGAATAGTTTCTAGCGGTTCTGTTAAATCCCATAAGTTTTTCCCTTGATTAAACTTCCATGTGATCGGCTTGACTACAACAACAACAACAACTTTATTTTGGGATGATAATCGATAAATTACAAGTAGAGACTACCTGCAAATAGCAAAGCAAATCGAGGCACGTAGTCTGGAGACATATCACTTACACTTTATATTATAATATTAATACAAAGAAAGTTAAAAGATAATAAATATGGTAAATAATTACTATAAATATATTATCATAAATAAGAGGCTAGAGGAAGGATAATAAGATGTACTACGTAGGATTAGCAGCTTACGTATTCTCAAGCACAAGGAAGACAAATTTTTAATTCTTTTCATTTCATTCAATAACGTTTCTATATCGGTTGACATAATTGTCCAGTTTAAGGAAGATCTGAAATAAGGATTTGGTTATTTTCTTTTTGAATCTTTGTTTGGGGAGTTTTCTGCACAAAAACTCTGTGGGCATTTCTAATTCACTTTGCTTTTTCATAGTCCATTGTTTTCTTCTTGTGTTGTAATCCAGTTCTTTGATGATTATAAGATCCTTGTTGCACCTTCTACTGTTTTCTGCACAAAAGCCTTGTAGGCATTTCTATTTCTCCTTGCTTTTCGTTGTCCATTGTTTTCTTCTTGTGTTGTAATCCAGTTCTTTGACAATATATTGATTCAACTTGTTAGCCAATCCAGCAACTGTGAAGGACCATGTCACAAATAAATTATGTGTGATACACTCAAGTTCATGATTTTGGCATTTTATGATGTCTTTATCAAATCTAAGCTTGCGAGCAAGCTCTTCAGGGCGGCTGAGCTGTCAGATTTCTGCCAATCAGTGTGAAACTAAAATGAGCGTGAATGTAAACAAAAATGAAAAACATGTGAAAGCACGCTCCGAGGGTAATGACATCATTACTAATGTCATCCCGCCAATCGGCAGTTTGCATAATTATTTGACTTTTTTGATACAGATAATCAAATTCCAGAGATGTAGTTGCAAGCTCTCTTTTCTTTTGCCGCCCTACCCCCAGAACACCCCGGAGAACTTGCTCATAGGCTGTTATTCACTGAACAACTATCTTTTTATTAGTACAATCACATTTAGTATCAGTACTTCCACATTCATGCTTTATTACTTTATTATATCAAACTATTACAAACATATTATGTACATGGGAGCTGTACATGTAGTGTCGCAGATGTTAGTACTAGTACATAGGTTACTATGGTAATAATAATAATAATAATAACTTTAATAGTAACATCCTCATGACATTTTTCAGGAACTATAAAAACTTGAAATCACAATTTATGATGGTATTCTACTAAATTCTAGAGCTTATGAAGGAATGTCGGCCTCAAAAGTGTGTCTTTCAGGGCGCGCTTGAAAGATGCCAATGAGGCACTTGGCTTAAGTTCATTATGCAAGTTATTCCAAGTGTAGGCCCCTCTGTAGGAAAATGTGCGCTGGCCTATAGCCGTTCTGTATAGCGGAATCTGCAAAGAGTTTCGTGTACGAGTGTTACGAGTATGTATATTTGAGCGCTTGGTAAACTTGCTCGTTAAATATTGAGGTGCAAGATCGTTCTGACATTTAAAGGTCAAAACGGAGTCTCTATAGATAATTGTTCTTTAACAGGAAGCCAGTTTAGCTCTCGAAGCAAAGGTGTTACGTGGTCAAACTTCCTAGAGTTTGTTACGATCTTGCTGGCAAAATTCTGAATAGATTGTAATCTGTTTATATTCTGGAGTGTAGTATTTGACCATACAGATGAGCAGTAAAGCATCTTACTAAAGACTAATGACGTTATTAACAACTCTAGTGTTTCCTTGTCGAAGCTCCTTTTGACTCTATTTATTTGGCAGAGCTTTGCGAAACAAGATGACACTACACATGAAATATGGTGATCGTAGGTCAGATGGGGGTCAAGAAAGACTCCCAAGTCCTTGGCAGAGTCTGTTGGCTTCAGTGTTTTACCTAAGAATACCACTCTAGGGTCTTCTGGTAACCTGCTTAACATCTGTCTGGTACCGAGGAAAAGGAGTTTAGTTTTATCGGGATTGATAAGTAGATGGTTCTCACAGCACCATTGAGCTACACTGTGAAGGTCTTGTTCGAGCTTTTCAATGGCAGCATCAAGCTCAACGAGAGGAAATGACATGAATAGCTTTGAGTCATCCACATACGATTCTAGGTTGCAAAACGTCGGTGACGTGGGTAAATCGTTGAGATAAATGCAGAACAACAATGGTGATAGGATTGCGCCTTGAGGAACTCCGTGAGTTATAGGTAGAGTGTCAGAGTAGGTGGAGCCAATTCTCACGTATTGCCTGCGACCAGTTAAATAGCTCTTGAACCATTTGACAGTAGAGGGTGAGGCTCCTAAGATGGAGAGTTTGTGGAGCAACCTTGCATGGTCTATACTGTCGAAGGCTTTGGATAGATCTAATAGTACTAGTGCTGTTATCTGCTTTTTATCCATTGCTTCGAGTATCTTATCCGTGAGCAGGATGTTTAAGGTCTCTGTAGAATGAGCTTTTTTATTGCCGCTTTGGTGTGAGGTAAGGCGGTTGTTTTTCGTGAGATAGGCGCTGAACTGATTCAAAACAATCCTTTCGAGGACCTTTGAAGCTACGGCTAGCAGAGATAACGGTCTGTTGTTGGCAGCTTTTTCATGGTCACCGTCTTTAAGAATCGGAATCACCTCAGCCTCTTTCCAGTTGTCAGGAAATGTGCTAGTAAGGATAGAACAATTGATGATGTCAGTAAGAGGGCCCAATATGACAGGAAGACAGTCTTTTAGTACACGAGCGCTGATCTTGTCCGGTCCCCGGAGATTTATTCATTGGGAGAGATGTTACAATTCGGTGAACCTCTTCACGTGACGCTGTCCTTAAATTGAATAATTCCATAGAGGTAGTATCTATGCCAGTTTCGGATGAAAAATCTTGGACTATGATGTTATGTTCTTCCCTCAGGCGCTGTACTGCGTCAGCGGCATTTAAGCCGACTTTAGCAAAATTAATAATTTTCCAGAGTGAGCCAGAGTTGTTTTTATTAGCTGTGACCTCTTCAAAGGTGTGATCTCTTTCAGCTTCTTGTAGCTTTTTCTTGACCAAGTCACGGGAATGTTTGAAATTTATCCACTCAGTGTGTTGGTGAGACTGTATGAATTGCTTCAGGAGGAGATCTTGCAATCTCATGAGATCATTGATTTCCTGGTTAACAAAAGGGCACGGTCTACTCCGAAGTTTAATTTGTTTCACAGGAGCGTGTAAGCTCAGGACAGACTGCAAAGTGTCATTTAAAATATTGAGCTTAGAGTCTACATCGGTTTGATCGAAGATAGTGAGCAGGGAATCCGCTTCCTTAGCTAGATCCGTGACAAAGAGATCCACATTATA